GAGGACCCTGGGACCATCAAGGGAAAAGAATAGAGTGCGGAACCCTATCCAGAGATGCAGTGACACCAGAGACGGAGGCAGAGATGATGACGTGGAGAGATGGAGCAGCTGGGGAGTCTGGACTCATGGAGGGAGAGGGGCGGTGTGCTGACGGCTGGGGGGCAGACTTGCAGGGTGTGCCCTTTGGTGTTTGATTGGTTATATATTCCTGAGTGCTTCAGTGTACATCCAAAAAATAAAAACCAGAGGGAATGATGATGCATGGAGGGGACTGTAATCATTGCAATGCAATGAAATATGACAGAATGAATATAAAGCTGACGTTCTCCCACGTAAACTATCACTCAAATCACAATAAAAACTAAAAAAAAAAAAAAGTTGTAAGCAAGTCATTCTGTTATGCACAGGGTCGCTATGAGTTGGAATCAACTCAACAGCACCCAACAACAACAAAAGCAACAGAAGATAAAGGTATAGGGGAGACTTGCTACTTTTTACAGGGTTATGCCCAAGTGACCTACTTCAAAAACAAAAAATTCAAACAAGAAAACTTTAGTCGTTTATAAAATGTGCAGGAAAAAACACTATTAAATCCATTTTAGATAACAGCTATGAAATTGGATACCCCCAGTGCCACCAGATTTATATATATAAATATATATATTGCTGTGTAAGTGCTGTTGAGTCAATGCTGACTCATAACGACCCTGAATAGGGTTTTCCAGGAGCAGCTGGTAGGTTTGAACTGCCGCCTTTGAGGTTAGCAGGTCAGTGATTACCCTACAGCAGTACACCAGGACTCCTATGTACATAAACTATATGTATGTAAGATTTATATGTTTATAAATTAGATACATGTATAAGATTAAATGTCATCTTTCTTTTTTTAATATTATGTGAGAAAATGGTCAACTAGAAACAAGATAGAGTCAAGACAATCTGGGTTCCAATCCCAGTTCTGTCAGCAAAGGAAAAAAGACTCCACACCAAGGCAATTGGGGACCAAGTGCACGTGTGTGCTGGGAGAAGAAAGAAAATGTTTTAAGAGTTTACGATGTTGATGGTACAAAAGCATGGTGCTTATGAGTCTATTGTGGCTAGAATGCAGCTGAAAGCCTGCTGTTTTTGAGGTGACACTTTGGGTTCTGAAGGTAAATGGGAGTGCCAGGGAAGAAGATACTGAGAAAGCAAAAGCTGAGAACAGGATCCAAAATGGCATGAAATTTACATTGAAAGGATTTAAAAAAAAAAAGAGCCTGAGAAGAATCAGAAAGATAGGAAGAGAACCCAAATAGCATATCTAATGTCACCAAAGTCACCAGGAAAACAGTTTAAGGACAGGTTAAGTGCTTCAGGAAGGCAGTAGCAGGGTTTGGAAATGAGATCTCGGGTCACCATTTCCAAGCAGTCATAAAAGGCAGAAGCTGAATTGTGTAACTATCACCATAAGACATGATACTGTGCATTTTATAGAAATCAAACAAATTACATAGGCAGTTTAAATAATAATTGTTATACGTTGAATTGTGTCCTCAAAAAAGATAACTTGAAATCCTAACCACAAGTATCTGAGAGTGTGCACCATTTTGGAAATAGGGTCTTTGAAGATGCAATCAAGTTAAAGTATGGTCACACAGGTTAGGATGAGCATTAAATCAATGACTGATGTCCTCATTACGAGAGATTTGGGCTTACAGAGAAACAAAGGGAAGAAGGTTTTGTGAAGACAGAGATAAACATTAGACTGATACAATTACAAGTCAGAGAACCCCAAGGATTGCTGACAACCACCAGGAGCTAGGGTGAGGCCAGGAAGTCTTCTTCTCTCGGCCGTCAGAGGCAGCATGACCCTGCCGACGCACTGAGGTGGGACTTCTGGCCTCTACAACTAGGACAGTATAAATGCCTATTGCTTTAAGACACCTTTATTAATGTACTACTAAAATGAAAGCACAGAGAACAGTGCGGATAATGGTTAGTTATACCGATTGTGATTATAAAGTGGCTGCACACTATCAAATGCCTCCTTCAAGAGAAAAAGATACTACTGCAACTAGCACCGACATTCACAAATGTGTGCCAGACACGGTGCTACTGCTTTATATTATGCCCATCAAAATTCTCCCCATTTTACTGTGAAGTTAAATAATGTGCCCAAGGTCACAAAGCTAATTCACTGTTGAGATGGAATCTAAATCCAGGCAGTTTGATTTTAAATACCCTGTAATAGCTTGTATATTGAAAAGATGTAATTAAAGACACTAAGTTCCCGTGTGTGTTCTGGAGTTGGTACAGATTTCAGCCTATGTTTCAAAGCAGCTATATAATACAGTGGAGTCCTGGTGTGGCGCTGTGGGTTAACGCGCCAGACTGCAAAGCCATTTGAACTGCAAGGTCGGCGGTTCAAGCTCACCAGTCACTCCTCGGAAACCCTATACAGGGTCGCTATGGGTCAGAACCGACTCGATGGCACTTAACAACAACAACATATAATACACTTAAAAAAAACAAAAACCTCAACCTACTCCATTCAAGTTGGTTCTGACCCATACTCATAGTGGCCCTGTAGAACAGAATACAACTGCCCCTTCGCTTTCCAAGGCTATAAATCTCCACTGAAGCAGACTGCATATCGTCTTCCCATGTAGCTTTTGGTTAGCAGCTGAGCACTTTCACGATTGCACCAATAGGGCTTCTCAGATAATATAAGTTGTTGTTGTTAAGTGCTATTGAGTCAGTTCTGACCCAAAGGGACCCTGTATAGGATTTCTGAGGGACAGCTGGTGAGTTTGAATCGCTGAGTTAGGTTGGATGGGTTCAAATCAACCCATCAGTCAAGTGCTTATCCTAAAGCACCACATCAAGACTTTGAATTGGGATACCAAGACATTAATAATAACCAAGAAGTGCTCTAAAATATAAATAAGTAAAAAGCTCAAGAATATTGAAAAACTACAAAAGTATTGTTTAAAAAGGGAGGGAAGGTTGGGGGAGAGGATGTAAAGACCCCACTCTCAGAGTATATGAAGAGTTCCCAGAAGGATGGTCTAGGCTAGCTGTTTTCTATTTTCACACAGGAAACGGTTTTAAGTATGGCAAACATACACCAAAAAAGTTCCCCTCAGGAAGTTAATTTATCATTAAACCACGTACTCTCACAGAATCACCACCCTGGAAATCTCATACATTTTCTCTTGACGGATTAAAGTGGTTCAACTAAGAGGCAACAGCCAAATTTTGATGGTTTCCTCAGGTTCCCTCCAACTCTAAGTCCATGATACTATAAAAATATGTTTTAAAGAGCAAATGAAAACCTTAAACCTCAAAAATGCAAATAAGAAACAGCAATCCCAACCACAGCGCACCCTCTGTCCCTGTCCTTTGATGCTACTGAGCACACAGGCACACAAACCCAGGAGGCAGTGTGGTGCAGCAGAAGACTCACACCTGATGGCAAAAGAGTTGAGATTTTCTCTTTGTTGTACATCACCAAGCTCAGTAATAACTCTGGCCCTTAGATTTCTCATTTGCAAAATGAGGGAACTGTTGTCGTCGTCAGGTGTCGACAAGTTGGTTCTTAATATACAACCCTGTATAGGGTTTTCAAGGCTATAAATTTTTATGGGAGCAGAAAGCCTCAGCTTTCGCTAGAGGAGGAGCTGGTGGGTTTGAACTGTTGACCTTGTGATTTATTCTACAGTGACATCAGTGGTCCTCAAATGAAGAGAATTAGGAGCCAAGTAATCCCTACATTCTTTTTCTCTTTTAATTTTTTATTTATTCTATAGCTCAGCAATTCTCTTCCAACACTTGTTCCTTCCTCTGCAGCCATCACATTTCCTCATTCCAAATATATGCCACCAACAGGAAGATAGAATAGCATCATCTTAGTATGTTGTTCAAACAGCCTCCCAAAGAAAGGTATCTTTGAAGTACAGGATAAACCCACTTAAATGAACTCAGTCATTCATTCTCTCCTTTTCAGCCCCTACACCAATATGGCACAAGTATTCTTACTATTTTTTAGTGTTCTCTACACACTAAAGAAGGACTCCTGGTGTAGTGCTGTAGGATAAACGCTCGACTGCAAGGTTGATTTAAACCACTGCTCTGTGGAAACCCTATACAGGGTTACTATGAGTCAGAACCGACTTGATGACAATTAACAACAATACCAACAACAAACACTAAAGAAAGGAGCCCTGATAGTACCAGTAGTTTAAGCTCTAGGCTGCTAAGTGAAAGGCTGAAAGGTCAGTGGTTTAAACTCGCCAATCTCTCTGCAGGACAAAGATGTGGCAGTCTGCTTCCCAAAAAGATTTACTGTCTTTGGAAACACTATGGGACAATTCTACTCTGCCCTGTAGGGTTGCTATGAGTCTTAAACAACTGCAAGGGAGTGGTTGGGTTTAAGCCCTAAAGAAGTAACCCAGACAGCTAAGGGAAGGGGGAATGATAGATGAGAAGAAATCAGAATGGCTCAAGCACCTAACTCATTTCAATCAAAATCATCTTCATTTCATAAAAGGACTCCACTAAAAGCCACTCATCTATACCATTATCACTAATATCAAGTGTCTTCTTTAACCCTGTGGTGCTGTAGATACATCAAGTCCTGTGAATCGCAATGTAGCCCAGTTGAGTCTAAGTATCCCAATATGGCACAAGTATTCTTACTATTTTTTAGAGCGCTGGTAAATTCTGGGCCACCCTTGTCCTTGAAAATAGGGAAAACATCTGGTTGAGGAAGTTGATTGGTGGTCAACAGAGCCTTTTGTAGTTTGATTCTGCCTTCCAAGAGTTGGTCCCACAGTGCTGAGAAAGAGAAAAAAACTAAATCTCAGTGATAAAATCTTCCTGGGTGGGGAGGGGGAGGGGGAGGGGGAGAGGGACAGGAACTCACACCGGTTCTCTAAACAGTTACATGCCATGGAAACGTTTTCAATTAAAGGAAGTAAATTCAGTATCTTGGAAGCAAATATTTGCTTACGACAGAGGGAATGCCAAAACCCAAGGAGAGAAAAAAACACTCTTCTCTTCACAACAGTCTTTCACGGTAGCCCAAAGTACAAGAGCAAAACCACCTAAGCAGCTCAGTGTAGAAATGGCTGGCTAAGCAGACGCTGGGGGCTTCAGGCCTCCAGGTAAGTGGAGCATGTCACAAACTAATTGGAAGGATACAGGAGAGAAAGACCAAGCCCAAACTCAGCAATACAGACTAGATCAAATGTAAATTCTCTGAAGAATAAACAGCAAAACCATGTACAAACCTATCTGGCTCTTCACAGCTTTTCCTTTCTCCACTTCCTCTGACTCTTTGACACTGGAAAACGTCATTACCACACCATCATCTTCACTGTTTCTGTCTTCAACCCTGTCCTCCTCACTTTCACCCTCAAAGTCTTCTTCACCATCTCCTTCTTCCATGCCACTTTCTTTATCTTCACCTTCCTCTTCTTCCTCCTCCTCACTGCTCCCAACATCATCCATCCCTTCAGTAAATTTTTCAAAGTCACTAATGCTCTGGACACTGAAGCCTGGTGTTTTTCCAGAGCAAATTCTCTTCTCCCTCCAGGCCCGTCCACTCTCCCCATTGTCAGTCTCCTGTACTTCAACAGCATGCCCATGATCTTCATCAGACTCTTCCAGTGCCAGGCCCTCAGAATCTCCATCTCCAGATACTTCGTCATCAGATACTTCCTTATCTAAAAGAGAGGAAGATAAAAACGGGTACTACTGTGAGAAAAATACCAGGCCCTCTTTTTTGTCTCAGAATTAAAAAAAAAAAGTGTTACTGTATTCAAAAAGTATTTACCATATATCCAATATCTCTAAAATGCTAAGGGAGAAGCAAAACGTGGGTTCCACCCTAATGAAAACTACAACACAAGCAAGAACTAAACTCAAAGTGCTTTGACAAAATTTTGACAACTAAGATTAGGGAGACATTCTAACTGTGGGGCAAGTGAATTTAAGCAAGGCTTTACAGGAGTCCTGGTGTGGCTCTAAAGAAGTCCTGAACTGCTGACCACAAGGTTGGTGGTTCAAACCTTGGAAACCCTATACAGAGTCACTATGTGTAGGAACCGATTCAAGGGCACTTAACTACAGCATAGGAAACAGACAGCACTCCATCAAGACATGAAAGAATAAGATTTCAACTGATGTTTTCCCAAACCAGCATCTGAAAAAATATGGCTTCTCATTATCTATCCCAAATGCAATCTTTATCATACCAGTGCACCTTATTTATTACATACTTATTAAGCACTTCTTACAAACTAGGCACAGATGATCGGTAAGACAGAATAAACAGAATACAGCACCTGTTGGTGAGGGGTTCATCATCTGGCAGGAGTGGTAAATAAGCATACCAACAAATACATTCCAATGCCATTAATGCCAAGTGTAGAGAAAAGCACCTTTCCAAAAGCTGCTCTTGGAAAGGGAAGAAATTATAATGTGGATAAAGACACATTATAATTTTTCATCACACAGACATGGGAGAGGGAAATGAGGACACAACATATTTGAAGGTCCAGCAAGACAAAAGTACTCTGGAGGGCAGAATGCAGACGAAGTGGTAGGAGGCAAAGCTAGAGAGAATCACAAGTCTTGCTTCCTTTGAGAAGGAGTTTGAGCTTGATGGAATGTTAGGAAAGCCTTCTCATTTTACTTATGTTTAGGTACCACTTGATACTCAGAAGTCTTTATTGACTGTCCAGTCTCTCCCATGGTGAAACATACAGCAAACACAGATATTAAATACCAATTACCAACAACTTTCTTCAATATGATAAAGATTTTATGAAAACATGAGGCATCTTCAGTGCTTCTTTATATTAAACTTAAGACCCTTAGAAGACTGGTCAGAAATATAAATATAAAAACAAAATGCAATGAACAGCAGACAGGAATAATTATTTAAATGTATGCTCTTTCTCAGATTAAGAAATATTCAGACAGAGTAGTGGGTAAGATTAGATATCTTGGAGTCAGACTGCCTTCATTTGAATCGTAGCTCTCCTGCTTGCTTGCTATATGATCCTGAACAGGTTACTTAGCTACCTGTCCCTCAGTTTCCTTATTTGTAAAATAGGAACAAACAGTACCAACTTCATAGGGCTACTGGGAAAATTAAATGAGATGATACATGTAATGATAATAGAGATGACAATATTTTTTAAGGACTGAGTCTCAAGTTCTTAATTCAAAGAGTTTTACCATAGCGCCTGACACTTGGTGAGAACTCAATAACTATGTGTTCCTGGTTGGTCTGTTATAAGCCTCTAAGCAAAGAATATGAATGAGTTTATTAAGAGCTTCCAGAGCTGTATCAAGGACTAAATCATAGATACCATATCCTGAATGATAATTCAGTCCACACGGTACTGATGACCTCTTTTAAGGAGAGAAAACAGCAGCTACTCAAAAGGTCATATCTGGCTCTTCTTCCACGTTTAGAAACTTACAATGTTTTAAAATGATAAGTTCACATTCTCCTTATTCTCTTACAGGGAAGAAGGGAGGCTTATTTTATTTTAAGGTTAAAATAAAAAGTAAGTTGCACAAATAACTAATATTATTCAGTGACTCAATGCAAGAACTGAACCCTCCCTCTCCCCATCAAAAAGAGTCAAAACCTAAAATTAGAACCATGCTCATCAGACACAATACTTCTTAAAACACATTACTTTTTTTTTAAACACATTACTTTCTAAAAACAGTCTTCTTTAATATCCAATATACACTGCTATTTCTTTCAGGGTGAACCTTTACTCTGAATAAGGAGTTTAGCAACTCTGGTGTTTTGATTCCTTATGAAGTGAAATAGCCTTTAAGGCCCTTTCTAGCAAGGGCACATAGATTCATCTTGCAGAAATCACCTTCTTCTTTCAACTCCGCCCCCCCCCCCCAAAAAAAAAAATGTTTAAGCTAC